GCTAAAGATCATATTAAACATGTTATATATCATCTTATAGGGGATATTATGCCTCTGCTTTGCGTGTCATCATGTTTCTTATAAGAGTTTTTTCTGTAAATAAACCCTCCAAGTGGGCGCTTCGTTTGGTGAGTTCGCCCTAGAGATGTATTCTCTAAGGCACAGATTCTGAAGCGTTGGAAACCTCTCTTCCCCGACCAGAATAAATCGCCGGTGGTTTTGTCGGACTAGCGTGAAGATGGCGAGGAGCGGCTTGGTTGGGTCCATTTCACTGACTCGCAAATCCTCTCATTGCCGGTGTGCTTTGCCAGTGAGGGTGGGGTTCTGCTGCAGGCTATCTCCGTTTCTCCCTCTCGAACACTCGAGACGATGGTCACTGTTCAGGCGAAGCCCCCTCTTCTACCAAAGCCGCTGGACCCGCCTGAACCACTCCCGATACCGTCGCGCTCGCTCGAACCTATACTGATTCACCACGGGCTAGAAAAGTCGACCACCTCCTCAGATCTGAATGGCACCGGATCTAGGGGGCCGCCGCGTTGCGCTTGATTTCGTGGCCTGGGCTCTCCGTCCGTTGAAGTCAAACCCCCAATCCACCACTGTCCCAGAAGCTTTGGTCTCCTTAGCCGATCGTCGGAGGGGATCGGAGATGTCTCCACCAGAGATAACACATTGCATTTCATCCGGTGTTGGCCACCGTCACAGGGGTTACATATCCCATCCTCGCCGGAATCTTATAACCCTCTTGCGGTCTTTCATGGCCGTATCTGGCCAAAAAGCGGTCTAGCTCCCCGGAAAATTTCTTTGGCCATCGCTGGTTTCGCGCTCCGTCAGTTACCAAGTGGGGTGAGTTGAATGGTAAGATGGGCATTGGTGAAAATTTTATGGGCCTTGCAAAGCCCAATTTATTTATTAGGCCCACTTGGAGTTTTATACTCACTATATTTGGCCCAATTCTTATTAGTTTAAAAATTATATTTGCAAAAATCTTACATGCTTTTGATCTTATTGGATCTCCCCTCTTGGGAAGTCCAAAGTTTTCTGGATTTTCAAATTCTGTAATTCTGTGGAAGACAATTCCACCTTATTCCATCTCAAGTATGGTCGTATTTTCTACCCTCTCATGGAGAATGGTCGAACCCCCGTGCCTTAGGTCGGGAACTTCAAAGTCACATGATAAAGTAACTAACCTGAGACTCTCCGGCTTTGCCGCAAAAATCTTCTTGATGCATCCGAGGCATGCTTTGGATTAGCTGTCCATCCTTTGCGATGATCTACTGCTTTATGCTTAATTGCTTCTCAATTAGGTTGTAGTAATTCTATATGATGTTTAATTCCCTCTCTTTGTACTTTGATCGGTTAAATGAATGAAGTAAAATTGTTTGAC